CTCCTGCGCAGCTATGCTCGTAGCTCTAGCTGCTGCCTCCACCTCCCTTTCCCTCTGTACGGCATCATCATACAATTTTTGAAAGAACGGTTTCTGACTCTCGTCTGCTGCGTCCAGCATGGCCTGCCATTGGTCAGACGTGATGACCGCCATGCTGGAGGAAGGAATGTCAGTAGTGCTCTCAAGAGGGGTCCGCTCTCTCCCTACGTTTGGACGAACACTCCTCTTGCCCCTCCTCACACTCTCAAACAACACACCTTCTCTCCCCCTTTCCTCTCTTTTCGCTGTCTGCGCACGCGTCTCGATACTGGACATAGATAGTTCAGATAAAGGAAACAAACAGAAAAGCACTCAGAGAAGAAGGTAGAACTCCTAGCCGGAGCGGCGAATCATTTGGACTTAGAGCGTGGCACGCAGCAGAAGAATAAATAAAACAAATAAATAAATAAAATAAAACAGAAGAGAGGTCTGATTTATAGAACGGGCCCGATCAGATCAGCCGGAGATCCCCTCTTGTCTAACCTGACAGGGGACATGGATCACAGTAAATCAGACGAAGAAGACTAATCTGCAGCAATGGAGATTTCGAGGGGTGCAGATGGTCGTCGAGTCAGACGCGGGGCAGTATGTGCTAACATGCGGTAAGGCCAGTCAAGATCCCCTTGAAAGGAATGCCCTTGCTGTCGGTATGTCCCCCAAATCCAGCACAGCAAAGAAATGCACTGGCGGCAACAGATCTGGGCCCAAAAGGTCCTGTATCGTTGGGCCTGGTCCCACTAGGTCCCGAGTGGTCCCAAGTAGGCCGTGGACCAGGACCAACGTGATAGGGGTACCAAGTCGGTCCCAAACTGCCTCTACCGTACTGGAAAGGAAAAGACAACTTTCAGCAAGAACTTACACCGTAGAAAGATATGTCATTTAGAGTAGATACATCATCCATCCATCCATCAGGTGAGAAAGCAATCCACAAGCTCACACACACAACCAAGACCGCAGAGAAGAGGAAGAGAACCCAGCACACCCTCAACAGGCCATGAAGCACCAAGCAACCTCCCACGGGCTTTCCCAGGTCACACGGCACTTACCTGTGAGGCCCGGCCTCCAAAGATGTCACTCCCCTCTCATATAAGTCCTCCTGACCCCTAGCTACCACTACACGAAGTGTCCTAGCATGACTAAGAGGGCCTTCCTACACCCCTGTTGCAAAGCCGGATCCCCCGTCGATGCCTGAAGACCAAAGTAGCAACTTGCAGCAATCCGATGCAGATATGGCAGCCTCCGATCAAGTCTCCCTCTTGAGGGGAAGCCCAAAAGTCACTCAATGTCTTCCTGAAGTCCAGATTCCAGGTGCAAGTACCTCTCAGTCTCTACTCCCTCTCGCTTGCTCCAAACAGCCTCCTTTGTGTCTCCCCACCCCATACATTCACTCAAGCAACCTGGTTGGGTCCAATGTCGACCATACATGACCTAACCAGGTGGGGGCAGCATCCCCATACCTCGCTGCCCCACTTAACCCTAACTTCCAACCCTAATCCGAGATTAGGTTAGCCCTAACCTAATTCGGAATTAGGGTTAGGGTGACTAACACCTCTCGCCAGCAAGTAAGTCCGCTCCGATACCGATTGTTACGATCCTGGTCATTTCCCAAGTGCAAATTCACAATGAAAGACAATGCCACCCAATTGCGGAAGAAATGAAAGCACTTGCAAGAGATAAAGACCAGAGGAGAGGTAAAGAAGAAGAAGAAGAAGAAGAAGAAGAAGAAGAAGAAGAAGAAGAAGTACACCAGCAAGACCAATGACAATTCCCCCTTCTCTCTCCACCTTCCTCCTTCCTCCTTCTCTTCACCAATCTTATTCTTCTCTCAACAATAATAATAACAATGAATGGAT